ACGTACTACTACTACGTACTACTACTACTACTACTACTACTACTACTACTACTACTACTACTACTACTACTACTACTACTACTACTACTACTACTACTACTACTACTACTACTACTACTACTACTACTACTACTACTACTACTACACACTACACTACACACACACACACACACACACACACACACACACACACACACACACACACACACACACACACACACACACACACACACACACACACACACACACACACACACACACACACACACACACACACACACAATGAGACAAGCTAATGGAAATGGACAAAAATAACTGAAAGATGATTCAACAAAAAGTCATTATGATATCCGCACAGTGACCCCATAGGGAGGAACATCAGATCACCACCGCTAATCTATGTGCAGAGGAAGGGCAAAGGAGAAACTCAACTTTCACTTTTGAATTCAACAGAAAAATACTTGGTGTTTTTTCGGGTTATAGCCAATTATGTCTTCACAAATGGGAGAGAAAAGTAGAAAACTTATTTTTCTCATTTGCCCTTGTGCTGCTGAGTCTGAGCAGCAGAGCAGGCGTAGCGTTCAGTGTTAGTACATACCAGCGCCTTGGAGCTAATTCTGAGGGGCGTAATGCAGGGAGAGGGGAGAAGCAAAAAGGGACAGAGACTAGTCTTACTCACAGCTTCACCAAACAAAGTCAACACAACAAGCAAGACGGCCCGGTGCACAGCTGTTGTTCCAGCTCAGTGCTGATGTGGTAACTCAGATCATTGAATCGTAATTTAGTTTGGCCGGTTGCTTTTGAGAAGACTGAGCTGGAACAAACTGTGAGACTTTCTGTAATTCAGGCTGAGACACGTGTCTGTTAGTGCAAAGCTATACTACTCATTAGAAAAGCAGCGTTAAGGGTCCATTTGCATGTGTTTGAATAGTTTAGTTTGAAAAGACAAGACTGGCATTATTTTATTTTGATTGTCAACAGAAGACGAAAACCAATGAGGATTTGTTTTTGCATTTGAGCGCAAAATAGCTTCTTCCACTATAAAAAATAACTCCAAAAATGTATAAAAAATATTCACGAGTCACTGTTGTACTGTATGTTCGGTAAACATGAGCACTAAAGGTTATTTTGTCTCAATCCTATATACACCAACTGGCTGCTGTGAATACTCGCTATAGCACCAAATATATAATAATCCTCTTTTGATAAGAGTCCCTAACAAATGCCTTAATCATTTGCTTCTGTTTTGGTCAAATATGCTTAAAACTTGCTCAGCTATTTGAATCTTTTAAAAAGGTGAAACTTTATATTTATGGCCCACTTTCAGAGTTTCATGTCTTCCATAGAAACCCATTGACTTGTAGCTGAGATGAACAGAAGGTAGATGGACTAACATTTGGTCGTTTAATAGGATTTGTTGACAAGTAAAATACAGAATAATGTCAGCCTTGTCCTTTAAAAAGCAGGGGAATCTTGTTTCTGAGGCAATAACGCCACATTGGTTTGCATCCATCTCTGCCCAACACCACTGAACACAGTTCTTAATTTCCTCCACAAGGTGGCGGCAGAGAACCACTAATATGAAACTGCTGAGCAACCAGTTAAAGCTTTGTGGACCCACGGGAAGTAGGTTTATGAAAATCTATTTTAAATTAGATGACAAGCAAACGATGAATGGCAGAGAGTGAGGCAAATAAAAAGCAGCTCTTGTGTTAGCTCTGTAAACATGCTCATTGTCCTTCTCAAAGACAATGTGATTAAATAAACACATCCCTCAAAACACCGATGATTATTTTCGCCACAAAAGTTTTGTGATCGATACAAATGGAATGAAATGAAAACGAAGGAGCAGAAAAAGTGTGGAAACAGTCAGGAGGGGTAAATCTAGGACAGAGCGAGAGTTAGCCAGATCCACATCAGTTGGCTATTGAGAGCGGTTACTGCAGCTGGTGGGGGGGGGCTGAGAAAGAGACAGGAAGGAAGGGAAAGGGAGGGAGGGGGGAGATTTATAGATGAAGGGAAGTGGGCGAAGGGAAGGGCGATGCTGGAAAGGAAGGAGGGAGCAGGAGGAGGAGGAGGAGGAGGGGGGGTATGAAGTGTGTACCCGGCTCTCAGCTCCAGGCGTCCCCTTTGGTCCTGGGTCGGGTGTGAGGGAGGGGTGAGGAGGAGAAGGGAGGAGGAAGAGGATGGAGAGGAGGAGGAGGAGGGGCCGAGGCCAGGGCCCGCGTTTACATCTCAAACTGTCAAATGAGATTTACAACAAGATGTGAGGGTCAGATCAGATCTCTAATGAGACGTTACCCTTCCCCCGTTCCCTGCTTTCAGACAGACAGACAGAAGAGAGGGCTGATGGGATGAGGAGAGGAGGAAACTGTACAACAGGAAGTGATGCACGTGAGGCTGGAGACGGACAGGAAGGAAGGATGTGACTCTTCTGCCCTGTCCAAGTGTTCACGTCTCTCCCTCTCTAAAGCCCTGTCTGACATGTTTACAGCAGCATGAGTTGTCTTTGATGTTGGACGATGATTGAGGTCAGATATTCTTGGCCCGCTGATTAAGTAGGCGCAGGATTCATATAAAGTGAGCTCAATCTTCTGTATGTGGGTCAGACATTCACCACAGTGCAGTAAAGGCTTGGAGGTGGGCCAGACATTTTTCAAATACCTCGTCAAATACTGTTAACACTTTAATACTGCAGATTAAAGAGGTCACTGCAAGTTAACAATCTCATGAATGTCACTCTATGCAAAGGAATGAATCTAAAAAGATAACATTAATCCCATCACTTTGAATGTGTCCAGGTGCTTACCATGATGACGGTCACCCCGGCCGAGGTGTGGTTTTGATTGGGCGCAGAGTTAAAGTGCGTCTTCAGTTTACCTGTCACCTCCATCTTCATGTTGTTCTCCATCACTGCCTCGTCCTTCATACACACAAACATGCATCGAGGTTAAGCGTTACCATGGTGTTCCGCTCATCTTAAATGACAGATGCTGAAGGTGTGTGTGAGCAGGCAAACACAGAGACGAACAGGTGACATACCGTGAGCCAAGGGTGGGAGAGGATGTCCTGCGCTGAGTACCGAGCCTCAGCGTTCACCTGCAGCATCTTCCCAATCAGCTCCTGCAGCCAAACACAACACAGGTTAGCACATCAACTCAAACATACTTTCAGAATGTCATGAAGAAAAGTATAGTATGTCATGAACGTCATTTAGAAAAGTCTGAGAGTATTACATGTCATATTCAGAAAAAGTCTAAGTATAGTATTTAGAAAAAAGTCATAGTGTACCTAATATGTGAAGTCAAAGGTGCATCAATATGTGTACAGTCTTTTAGTATAGTAAGACATAAAACATAAAGAAATGTCTTGGCATAGTATGTCATTGAAAAAGATGTAGTAACATTAAAAGTAATTAAATAGTAATATGCCATAATATATTCATATACATTAAGTCATATGAAACTCGTAAAAAGAACAGTACGTCATCAAGAAAAATTATGATTCTAGTGTCATATTATAGCATTTAATAAAAATAAACATGAATGAAAATGTTCATATGTTACAAAAAAGTAAAAGAAAACTGTTTAGTATTTTGTAAAAATGTTCCCCTGCACTGCACCGTGTAGTTTCGTCTGGTTTGTGTGTGTGTGTGTGTGTGTGTGTGTGTGTGTGTGTGTGTGTGTGTGTGTGTGTGTGTGTGTGTACCTGTGTGCAGTGACAAGTCTCTGTAACAGCACGTCTATCAGCCGTGGGTTTAATTAGCAGTTAGCTTTTGCCTGCTGAGAGGGCTGTCACTTTAATACATGACATTCATTTAGAGGGTTTCTGTGTCCTTCTGCAGGCAGCAGCCATTAGTCATTAACCCCTTACCAATCAACACAGCAGTATATTCCACAGAGAAGTGTCAAAATTCATTGTGTTTTGGTTAGGCATCAAAATGTATAATTTTTTAACACTGTGTGTGTGTGTGTGTGTGTGTGTGTGTGTGTGTGTGTGTGTGTGTGTGTGTGTGTGTGTGTGTGTGTGTGTGTGTGTGTGTGTGTGTGTGTGTGTGTGTGGGGCTAACCTTGGCTGAGTCAGTGATGTTGTCCCAGTAAGGGCTGGGGAACTCAAGTCGCCCCAGAAGGATCTGGTCAAACAGATCCTCCTGCATGTTGTTCTCACTGCATGAGAAAGACACACACAAACACAGATATTAATAACATTACTCAGAACACATGGCATTGTGAAAAAACAGCACAATAATAATAGATATCCACACCTACGCTTTAATATGTTAAAATGCACATAATTAAAATAAGCTATTATAGTCATCATGATATGAGTTGAAGTACCTTCTAAATGGAGGGAAGCCACACAGGAGGATGTAGGTGATGACACCTGCAGCCCAGATATCCACCTTCAGACCATAACTGCGTGAAGAGAGGAGCGTCAGGAAAGGCAAACCATATTTATTATCCCAGTTGAGGAGAGATGCAGTAGATCGCTGATTGTACATGAAACAACTTAAAAAAAAGTTCAACCTTTTGACAGTTGGCAAACACAAAGTTGTCAATGTACTGCAATGTTATGGAAGCACTTATACAATAACAACCTGATATGCACAATATACCAATCTCCCTCTAATCCTCTGTGGATAATTACAACACACCTGAACCCTATACCTGATTTGGTGTAAATGGAAACATCTGTTCCATGTACAATATCAGACGAGTACCAACATACATGTCCACATCTCCTCCCAAAAATGTATCTTACCCTGACTCCGAGATGATCTCTGGAGCCACATATGTAGGCGTTCCACACACAGTGTATAACGGTCCTTCCACCACCGTGGCCAGACCAAAGTCCCCCAGTTTCAATGACTTGGTGCCATCTGGATACTCAAACACCTACAAAAGAATGACATGCTCAGTTAAAGTTCCCAAAACAGCTGGATGTGTATGTGAGAAACTAACGTGAGTGCGAAAGTATACCAGCAGGTTCTCTGGTTTGATGTCTCTGTGGACGATGTTGGAGCTGTGCAGGTACTTCAGAGCTGCAGCCAGGTTGTACACCATCACCGTGGCGTCTCTCTCTGTGTACTTGGCCGAGGACGTGATGGCATCAAATAAATCTCCGCCCTGTGCCAACATTACCAGAGATTAAAGATGATACCCAGCGGAGAAATGATGATTGCATTGACATTGCATCCTCTACTGCACCTTCACTAGCTCCATCACCAGGTAGAGTTCAGAGGGAGTGTCCACCTCCTCGATCAACATGATGATGTTGGGGTGCTTCACCCTACGCAGCACTGCCACCTCATTCTCTATGAGGTGCTCCTGGAAACACACCAAGACAAACATTTCCACTTACTTTACGCTCCAGTGAACAGGATTTACCCTGAGCCAGTGTCTGCTAATGAAAAGAGGCTGCATTGTTGACTGAATCGGTATCCATGTCAAGGGTGTGATTCAGTGTGTGTGATTCAGTGTGTGTCATTGTGGGTGAAAGTGTGAAGATAATTTGAGTTGGGTGATGAATAAAACATTACCAGCCTAATTTAACTGTGTGGGCTAAGAGGATCAGAGACACACAGGCCACACTGCGTTGTGTGTGGGTGTTAATAATGCAAAGTGAAACCCACATGAACCTTACAAGTGCATCTACGGGTCTGAGAGAAATACACACTAAGACGAGAAATGTGAGAAAGACCTTTCCAGTGCACTTGGCCTTGTCGATGATCTTCAATGCAAACTCTTTTCCGGTGGACCTGAACAGAAACAGTGCAATTAGTGGCAACAATAAAAACAGCACTAAAGCTGCAACAATATCTATAATTCAAATCAAGTGCTCACAGGAGAGCTTCAGTTAGTTAGCAGGAGCAGCGCTGCAGTGATTGGAAAGGTATGATAGCTGCACGAGCCAAGTTTATACAATGAGCAGAGAAACAGTGCAGATGCAGGCAGGCCAACAACCTTTACTGACAGAGTAACTGAACACCAGCAGGAGCAACAGGGTTTCACTTCTCACGTCAAAGGTTTCAGGTTTGTCTCCGCTACTATCAGAGATACTGGGTGAGGTCGGTTAGCTCAGGACTCAAGGATGTTAACAAATAACATTTGTATCTGCCTTTTGATACGGAGCCTCCACACAAATGTAACATTCAATAGTTTTATTTAAAATAGTTTCAGAAGTTGTTACTGTTATCCCAACAAACACACACACAGTCAACCAGACAATACACAGAACAAACATCGACCGCCTTGGCTTCGACTCTGAGGTACCCTTTAGAGTTATTGACAACTAGTGTTGCCATGGAAACATTTGTTTATTTGTTGTTTTTTTGTATCTCCTGCTTTCTAAAACACACATGTTAGGCATGTATCTATAGACAAGCTTATCATTTACACAATACTCCAATAAACCATCACTGATAACACTTTTTAGCGGTGCACCAACAGAGAAGAGGACATGTGGATTGACTTAATAAATATAAAAAATAGAGGTTAAAGAATCTGAGCGTATATGGATGTTCATTCAACTTGAAACAGTTTAGCTCTCAAACACATCATAGAGATGTATTCACGACCATGTGACTGAACACTCAGAGAGCTAGTATGGTAGACCTACAGAATATTTTGCTTTGTAAATGTTTATCTGAATAAGGATATCAACTCAAAGTGTTCCTTAGGCCTCAATGATACACACAATGTATTTTTGTAAACTGCAAACTGGATTAAAAGGAACCCTTCAGGGAGCCTCTCAGGCTCATCAGATTATTATTATAACACACTTCAGACGCCTTCTCCTCATCCTCTCCGCTGTCTGCTGGGTGTGACTCAGAGATGTAAATGCTAATCACCGCTGGGTTCAATCTGTGGGATGTTTCTGATTCCACAATGCCTGTCATTAGGATGTTAAAACCCTGATGGAGCAGTACCCACACATCTCGTCTCATTAAGCAGCACCACACGGGGCCCTGCGGTGCGATCGTGCAGACTGAGTGTGAGTAAATGTGTTGCACCTACCTCTCCACACACTCTTTGACCACAGCGAAGTTCCCATCTCCGATGACCTTCCCAATCTTGTATTTCTCAGATATGGCAGAGGCAGGCGGGTAGCCATTCCCATTAACTGCTGAGGACAGGCAGGGATTACAACAGGCAAGAGGCTTTCTTATTTAATCAAACTAACCAGCTCTCAGACTGAATTATGTGACTACACACTGCAGCAAAACAACACACAGGCATCTCAAAAAGTCCTCCATTGGCATTTAGGGAAGAGAGCAGCAATATTATGTATTCACCGTACACACACACACACAACCCTAAACTATGTTAGATAAGTATCTCCTAGCAGCCCTGTTATCCTCCCCACAAGGCCTGGATTTGGTCTCTTTGTTGGGAAAGCTAATTGTAAAATATGAGGATCATTTTTGTTTTGATAGTCAATGTCATTTCTACAAGCTAGAGGGAGAAGAGGTCCGTGCAAAAGTGTCTCAGTTGGCAGATCAGGTGAGTGACTCAAAGAGAAGAGGAGAGGACGGGGGAGGAGAGGAAGAAGAGAGAGATAGGAGAGAAGGAGAGGACGGGGGAGGAGAGGAAGAAGAGAGAGAAGAGAAGAGGAGTGAAGATAAGAACAGAGAGGAGAGGAGGAGAGGAGGAGAGAGGAGAGAAGGAGAGAAGGAGGAGAGGACGTACCCTCTGGACTGAGTGGGTTGCTTTGCTCCTGGTGGTTGTTCAGAGAGCCATTTGCATTTGAAGACGGGGTGTGATGTGTTGGAGGGATCTGCAGGATGCCAAAAGAAACAAAAATAGAGTCCTCAAACTAACCCACACACAAACATCACTATGGCAACCTAAGGATTTAAAAGCATCCAGAAAACTCGCCGCACACGGAAAAACATCTTGTATTATCGTTGAGTCACTTTTGCGTGGCTTTGAATGATGGCATGAATAGGAGACTAAAAACATAAATGAAACCCAAGATATGTAATTAAAGCTACACAATAATTATGCGTTTGTCTTTACATATATCTTAAATGTTCATTTGTATTCTTTACTAATAAAACAACCTGAAAATGCCGCTCACAAACATCACACATTTCTAAACATAAAACATGTACATAAGTGCTAAAGTAAACGTATTATATAAATTGTGAATGAGGGCTACATTTAGTTTGCCCTTCAAAGTGTACAAGGTGCCGCAGATATTGGAACAGATAGTCCTCCTCCATTATCATCACTGCACATTAAACCGATATGGCTCCCAACGCATGATTCATTTCTTAAGAGCGTCATTTCAGCATCTTATGGAATTGTACAGTATACTTTTTATAAATGTCAGCCATAAATGCAGCATTAAAAAAAGACCAGTTATACTTTACATTATGTACAGTAGTGTCCAGTCCCTTACTGCTCCATGATGCCTTTCCCTCACAGTAAGGATATATTATTTAGTTTGAAAGAGTAGCCCTCTGGACTAAAGTAGAAATGGAACACTGTGAATGTCTCTTTTAAAACAGGATACAGAAAAAAAGCTTTTATTTCTAATAAATAACTTCTTCTGATGGCTTTAGTTGACCTGACAACGTGCAGAGTGAGCAGCTCTGTCATTGACATCCTGGTGCTCTCTGCCAGTGAATCTAAAAGCTGTCAGTAAATCATATACATCTCGTATCCAGCCAAATAAGGATAAGTCTCTGAGTGTTGACGGTATAGGAGGTTTGCCAGCTGGCTGCAGCAGTTAGAAACTAGTTTGGAACTAACATGCAGCTTACCGAGTTATTCGTCAATAAATCAGATTAGTATGTCTGACTCGAACAAAAATAAATCATAGAGCTGCATCGCGGACACAGATCTGTAGGTCATACAGTACATGGCTGTTAGTCTCTACATATAGACCTAAAATCATTTTGTGCTATGTTTAGAATCCCGCATTATCCCCCACCTTAAAGTGTGGCCTTTATTTATGAGTCTTGTACAAGTATCTAATTCACAATAAGATTTACGACACTAACTAGATTTACTGAGTCAGTAGTCCAGCACTTTACCAAGTGAGTTATTACAGCTATGTCTGGTAAAGCTTTGACACTTTTACGAGAACAGATGCTGGCTTAAGACCAACCATAACAACTTAAAAGTAACCTGTGGGGTTTTGACTATTGGTAGTGCTTTATGACTGGTGGTGTGAGGAGTTAGTTGGTCCCCATTTTGTTTATATCTTGAAATTGTGCACAAGCGCAGCAGTGACACGATATGGTGATAGATTTCCGAGTCTATTTTTGCTCCCTTATGTTTCTGTCATGTGTATGAGAAGTTATGCAATATGAATATACTGTATACCGACAGTATACGCTTTAAACATATAGTGCACTGTATGGATAATGTGTTGTAATGCATCTTAATGTTGTTGCTGTCTGTGTATGATCCTTGCTGGAACAGACGGATGTGATATACCGTCTTACCTTGAAAGTGGGGGTGGTTCGGGGGCTGGTGGGGGACGGAGTGGAGGACTTGGTGGACTTCTGAGTTGAGATCTGGCTGATGGAGATACCGTTCACTATGTGGAGAAAAAACAGGAAGGAAAAATACAAGAGCAGGGAAAGAGTGAATATGAATGTGAGTACAAGTGTCATTCTCACATGGCTTATACAGTGTGGATAAAAAGGTGACTTTCATTTGGTTACCAGGAACTCATTATATCTATTACTACCATTGCTTGTAGATGTGCACAAACATCTACAGATTTATTATCTATTATATTTTACGGCATAATATACTATAACAATTTTATGACATTTCATGACAATTGTTTCACTCAGTGAATACAATTTTAAATTACACAAAGTAATAAAGTGGATGCCTCAAATGATTTGGTTATGTTAGTGTAAATATCCACAAATCCAAAGGACTTCCTGTGTACGAATATTTAACAGATTTCAATAATATACTTTAGTGTAACACCAGGAACACAGGCATGAGAGCTTTAATTGTTTTAGTGGTTCATTTCCTCAAGAACAAACTATTTCTGCCTTCCTCTCTGCTGGTTTCTGCCGACATAATGCGTCAAACTTGAACTCAAAGTCTCTTCTGCAGAAACCCCGCTGAGCTGAGGAAAGGATTTCACTCCGCCTACAGGCTGCGTCTCTGTAATATTGAGTTTTTATTTCATCGTGCAATCACTTAGAGGGTTTCTCTCCCCATGGTATTTATCTTGTTTTGTAATGGAGCCTTTGAAGCACTTACTGGGGATATCTCAAACAGAACATTAGCTTTTAATGTTTCAAAAGTGCAGTTTAACTTTGAGCATCTCTGCTGCTTCAGATGAAGAGGCTTGTGATTTAACTGTTCAGTGAAAGCATGATTCAATAACAGAGCCGGAGAGTTTAATCAGTGCAGGGCTCTGAGTCAGTGGATTCTGCAGCAACTGGATTCTAATTAAGAATAATAGATGTGTATAATACAGGGCATCCCAAAGAACCAGAGGGATGGAAAGAAAGACATAAATCAAACCCAAAGAAACGTAAAACATTACATAATGAATAATTTAGATGAGAAGAGTTTATGGTTAAAATATCACTGAAAGTATCTCACCTCCAATCAGAAGTACAGTGATTTACAATAACACTGATACACACACCTGTACTAATGACAGAACATATTATAAATAGATGGACTAAGCCACTCTTCCCTACAACTGTTAGGGTAAAGTAACATACCAAGGCTTTCAAGTGCAGTGTTAAACCACAAAAGTCAGGCTTTGTTCACACGAGAATAAGAGAAAGCTAAAGTTCTAAGAAGCTAGTGTTTTCTACTGAGTACCCTTATTACCAGAGGACATGGATATAGCAGGTGTGAGATGAGGCAAACTGTGTGGCACCATCATGAGCCTCACCTGGGGATTTGACTGGAGACTGGCTGGTGGAGAAGTGGACAGTTTGCCTTGCTGCATTATCAAAGGCAACAAAAAAAAGAATAGTCAGGTAAATATGATTAGTACACACACATACATTAAAACACACTTTGAAGTGCTTTGAACTAACCAAGGGCAAACTCAGATAGCAGACACTTCAAACGGGCAAACATTCAAATAAGCTCTCTACCAGCCTTTACGTCAGTTAAGAGAACACTGATTACTCAGCAGAATGTCTCCATCTCTCAATGCACTACACAAAGTGCTAAGTCATTCTGTCACAGCTGATGGATCAGCATGAGGCTGCTAAATAAAAAAATCTATCACTCAGCCTGTCAGCTAGAAATGACCTTACTGTGCTCCTGTGCCATCATATTTTTTTAAGGGGGTTGTAAAACACACAATGTAATAATTTGAAAGACTTGACTTTACAGATTGTCTGCTTACTAGTTAGTATCTTATCTGTGCTTAAATATCTCTTAATTTAAAGAGCTAGCACGTGCAGTTTCTATGTGTGTCCCACCTGCACCGGGGGACTTGCTGCGTCGGGAGGGTCCGGGGCTCTTGGCGGTCCGGTTTGGAGTCGCAGAGCGGCTGTGCGATGACTTTATAACTCTGCATTCTGAGAAGGACAAAACTCTCAGGGTCACCATCGCATATATTAACCTTCCCTTTACATAAACGTGTTCCTTCTGATGCAGAATTATGACCAAAAAGCTGCAGTGCCAGGGATACGACCCTGAATATGTTATTTATGTCGCATGATGTTATGAAAGCTGGTCACGCTTGATTATAAGAACAGAGAAGCAGCGAAGACAACTTTTTTTGGCAAAGCAGATAAGAAAAGCATTAATTACAAGATATTAGGGTTCAAGTTAAGATACATCAGAAAAGCCACACTGTAATAGTGATTAGGGTTTGTACTCATTCAAAATGTTCTGATATCGATGCAACATTTATGCTACCAATTCCTTCTGAACTGATACTTTTCCAATGTTAAATGTTGAAGCAGCCATACAATAAATTATTATTAGATAATGATAAACAATCTGAATCATAGCTAGGCAAAGAAAACTAGACAACTTTCAAGTTAGACAATTAATGAATACCCTCAACCAATACACATTTCAACTTGTGCCAGTGCCTAAAACAGAGACTCAGTAGCCAGCCCAAATGTTGACTTAACAAAAATGTAATTTAGGAAAATCCTCCCAACAACTGGCTAACTGCATATTGGCCATACAAAGTGAGGAGGCTCTGATACTTGTTGTAATTTCATAAAAGGAATTACAACTATGTCACTTTAAAGGACACAGGGCTAGGCCAGACAAGGCTACAATGATCACACGGTTTTGTTTTCATGATCTTTGGTGCATTCCACATCTGTTGTGGCATTGCTGTGTAAGAGTATATGTTGTAAAGAAGTGTGTGGTCAACTTGTCAGGGTTGAGTTAATGAGGGTGGGGGCGATGAGAGGCATAATTTAATGGCACACGCATGAAGAAAAACACGCCCACAGAAGCACACCCACAGTGTGTTTCTAATGTGTTCCCCATGCTACTTATCAACAGATGCACATGATTAAAAGGGCTCTAAATATCGTTCACTTCTTCCTTGTATGGTGTATACAACCCATTAAACCAAATTTGTTTCTAGGGCAACCCCTGAAGTGAGGATATGTGCTTGAGCTGAGAACATACTCGTTTTTACTTGTCTTTTTTTTCATTCATTTTGTGCCTTTTTGTATGATCCATTGCACAGGGCATTTTCCATTTCTGTGTTTCAACAGTAGAGTGTGTTCTTGACCCGTTACACAAGAGGAGTTCCTGTCCCTTTTGCAGAGGGTTAGAGTACTGTGGGCCTATTTTGTTCCTTTAAAAGACCTCATTCTTAAAAGTGGAGCACAGGAGTGTAAGTGGGACAGAAGCTCCAAACTATCTCTGAATACGACTATGCATCAGTCATCCTCAGTTACAGTGAACACAGTGTGTGAGGATGGGCCTCCCTGGTGTTAGCTAACCTGGAAAAACAACACAAAAACTAAAACAGGATGTCAATACTTTGGACTGTTTCTATAATAAACTAATGTTTCCTTCCAGAGAGGTTGTCCAGTGTACATTGCTCTGACAGAGAGTGGATCTGCTGGTCTAAAGAGGTCGTATGCTGCCCTGTGCTTTTGAAGTCTGTTTTTTTAAGATATGTATGTATTTAACAGGCAATTTGCATAAAATCCTCAAAGAATGAACAAAAAGTCATTTACAAAATCACATAAAAACATTTAAGAGTGCAGTGTGTGTTTCATTATTTTCTTTGGATGCTGGACTGATTGCTAACTATACTCTATGCAAATACAAAGCTTATTTTTCAATACATTTATAATAAACAAAAAATAATTGTTAAGAGAATCATATAAGTAAAGAGAACAACACACAACAAAAACCTAATTTCCTGCTGTACACTTCCTAAAAGGAAAAGAGTGTTGAAAGCACAAGTGAGTGAAGCATGTTGAGGAAGGATACAGAGGCAAACACACACACACAAACACACCCACACACACAAACACACCCACACACAGACGGATGTTTAGTTAGTCTTAGTCAAGCCTACCAGTCATAAAGGCTGTGGAAGCCTTACCACTGTGATCCAACAGGAAGTCGTCCTGCGTATAGCGGTGTTTCTCCATGCCACACGCAATAAACACATCATCGTCCCCGAAGAAGTCCTGCAGGCAGATAATCTGGAGGAAGAAAGGAAAGGAGAGAGAAGAAGTGAAAAAGATGGATAATACTTCGAAAGGTATAATAATACTTGTAATGATACCAAGAGTCTGGAGAATGGGATACTTTACACAAGCATGACCTAATCAGACCACTACCACAGTGCATATTAAGATTGCACTTCAAAATAATTCAATTTTGAGACATAGTGGTCCTTAAGACACTGCAACACAATCGTACTGAATGTTTCACATAACTCGACTGACAGTTGGTGGCAAGAATGTAGTATTTGAAATATTTACAAAGCTTAGCATATGTTGTATGAGTTGGTCATCTGAGAAGAATACGAATGACTCGTTGGTCTTGGTGGGAGTCTGTTATTAAATAGTTATTTGATTGTGAACAACTAAAGCAATTTACTTTAGTTTCTTTCATAAGACATGGATGATGTAGTTTGATTAACTAGTGTTCCTAAAATAAGATGATGTGATTCTCCTGCCTTTCATTCTACTTTACATGTATTAGCTGTATTCTGTTTCATATCAAACATATTCTCTTGTGCTCATTGAACTAGGCCAATACAATCAGTCTGTGGGATGTGTGTTGTACGGTAAGGTTGTGACTGTGTAAATGTGTGTGTGTTGAGTCAACAGCACAGAGAGATGGAGCATAACAACAGGACGAGGTCAAAACACCCTGACAACCAGAATACTGCAGAGTCAATGCAGAGTCATGAAAGCAGCAGTGTGTGTTTGTGCTGTTGCAGGGTAATCTGTCTTGCTTTTTCTATACTGTCTCACACTGTGATCGTCAGTTTTCTCTGAGTTAATTGTAAACCACACACACACACACACACACACACACACACACACACACACACACACACACACACACACACACACACTGCCTTTCATATGTACTGTATACATGCAAACACACATGCACACACAAAACAAGTATGGAGGAAGAGCGCAAGATGGCAAAAGATTGTGGGCAGATGGATCCTCTGAGGGAGATGTGGGGGCTGACTCAGTGGGGTGGTGTGTGTGTGTGTATGTGTGTGTCAGTTGGTATCATGAACACTGGGATGGTCAAGAAATACTTAATTACTACTACAGAGCATAAACAAAACAAAATATAATTCCACTATAGGCCTGAGGTACACATTCATTAATAATGAACAAGACCCTTCACATGACACTTCTGCATGTCCTGCATTCGGAAGCATCAATTAAAAATGAAACAGGAAGCCGTATCCATAACATGCTCATGAATAATACATAAACACCTTTCCTGGCCTTCGGTCTTTTTGTCTAATCTTCCGGTGGCCTCTTTACATGTCAACAAATACAAATAATCAGTGAAAGTAGTTCAGGAGAGTTCATATGTGTCCACACTGAGCTGTGGTGGTGAGTAGGCCTATCAATGGTTTGACATAGCTTGAATATTTGCCATTCTTTGTATGAACTCTCCCTCTGGAATCTGGCAGCTGATCGCCACACCATACTGTCAGGGCACAGGTGTTAGAATCACCATGGCAACAGCCCACAGGGATAGTCCGGTGTCAAAAATGGACTCTGGTGTGGCGAAGGATATGATAGTGAGAGACTTTTGCATGCAGATATTAGATGATATGTCTCCCTGACCTCTGACCTGTGTACACACACTGCTTCCTATGGTGCAGACATCATCATGTTCACACTGTGCTGCATTCCTTTCATTCACTTGCTGCGTTGGTATGAAGCACGCTGGTCGTTTGTTAGAGGACAATGTGACTCTGCACGACAAAGGACTGCTGAAGTGAGCATTGTCCCCTGGCAGGAAAATCTCCTACAGTGGTGACATCTGCCGTCAGAGACCGACAGCTCAAACATTGAGAAATACGCCACCTTGCTTTAAATGTAAAGATTTATACAATGTTTATATTTGTCAGTTAAATAAAGCGCTACAGCCAGCAACCAGTTTGCTTAGCTTAGCTCAAAGACTGGAAACGAGGGCAAACAGCTATCCTGTCTCTGTCCAACTTTTACTAAATCTAACTACATGCAACAGTAAAGCTCACAAATTCCCCTGTTGTTTAAACATTTAAATATCTAGCTCGAAATACATGATATATTTGTTCCATATTACAAGGTTATGTGCCAGGCCTACGTCCTACGGTTTCTCTTGGTTGCATGGCAACAGCTTAGGGATAAAAAAAAGAGTCCATCACATAAATCCCCATTACACGTTAAAATGTAATTTGTGTTACTGATGGAGTCAGATTAGCAGTTTTACCCTCCTGTTAGTCTTTCTGCTAAGCTAAGCTAAGCTAACCATTCTCTGCAGCAGCTTCAAATTTAAGGGACACTAGATTTTTATCAAATCTGGCTAATAAACTGTCAATAAGAAGGAAAAAAACACAAAACATTCCCCAAAATGTCATGTGACGCTTCCTACAAGCTACTGTAAGTTCTGCATTTTTGTTTCTGAATATAAAAAAACATTTACTAAATCCCCTCACATTCATTTGAATTGATGTTGCTGCAGGACATGTTGGCTCAACACCAACTGAGGCAACAGGCTTATTGTGGAGAGATGGAAATACAGGGCTAGAATATTAGATATCTTGTTTGAGAGAGCCCCTGGCTGTAATCTAATTTACTTTCACCTCTACACACACACCTCTCTCACTGCATGCTAGCACTGCTGTGGCTGTGATAAAATATATTTCAGCCTGCAGGCGATGCCCAGGGGAAGGCAGTGAAATGGAGACAAATGTCTGAAAAGACCCAGGTTTACAATAACCTTATTAGGATGACTGTATACCTGAATAAAGAAGAATACATGCTTCGAACAAAATGTGTTGTTTGGTCAAAGGTTTTTCTTAAACATGATCATACGTATGTGCACCAGGGCATTTGGATAAAAAAAAGGATTGTATGAATGTCAGATTGCATTGCCCATGTTTCTTCTTGCTCTTGTAAACCACGGCCAACATGAACAGCCATTGGCCCTCCATCACAAGAGCTGTTCTGCTAGGGCTTGTCTCGGCCAATCGGTGAAGTGTTATGTTTGCAGGGTCCTGTCATTGGCTGGTTGACGTGTCTTGAGGCTAAACCGAAGTTTGCCCTGTGAGATGCAACAACCCCCCTCCTCTTTTATGTCTGGTCTCTTGCTCTCACCATCAGTCTGTGTCTTCTGTGATGCCTGCTGTACATTCTGCCCTGCCACGCTTGGCAACAGAGGAACGACAGGCCGAGGGCTTCAAGTATGAGTGAAAGTGTCAGAAGAAATCAAGGTTTTTAACATGCATTTAAGAAATGTTGTATCCAAGTTTTTTTCAATCAAACCAAAATGGGCAATAGGTTCTGATAATGGTTGTCAGTGGTTTCAACAAACGTAACACTTGTGTGGTTTGGATTTTCAAAGCATGAAAACAAACCAAAACATCCTAATCCAAATATATTCCAAACATAAACAATGTAGTTCAACTGCACTGAGTGGGTGGGACTTGTCTTCTCTTGCTCTTAAGTCAGGGCTTTGTTCCAAAAAGAAATGTCACGCACCAGCAGGTGGTGAAGAATCAGGGCAGTGGAAAAGACAGTGACTGGCTAAAGAAGATACACAGAAGGAGATGCAGGCTCTCCTTATGGCTGACTGGACAACAGTCACAGTAATCATTGGGTAGCATCAACCCCTTTGACCTCCAAACCCCTTATTTCAGCTCATCACACTGAACCAAATGAGCAAGGCGGTTTGAGTCCTGAGGGAAAGGCGATTCAGGGAAGGTCAGCCTACGCAGCACTCCTGCTAAAACAAAGGAATTTACCTATCATGGTATCTAGCATTATTTACCTACTTTTGGTTGGTATTATAGAAGGGTCATCAAGAGTACGCCAGATTTGTTTTAATTATCTAAGAAGAAACCCCAATGTTCCCAACTGTTCTCCAATGAAAGTAGCTAGCAGCCATTGAAGGGTCTAGTCTGCAGCATCTAAAGAAAGCAGATGCAACAGTCGCTAAATAATGCGAGAAATGTCCAACATTGCAACACTCACTGCCCGTCCTTTTAAGCCTTTCTCAAAAGACACATGGTTATCAGGTAGGTAGCAATTCTACAGTCCTGCTGTGACAGACATAAATACTAGCCTTTTCTTCTCAGAGCAAATGATTTATTGTATTTCTGTAAGGATGTAAAGACAATTGAAACAAATATAACAAAACAAGTGACAAAAGAAATCCTACATTATAGTACCCACTTGTGCTTTAACTCTCCCATAAGTACTTCTTACTCAAGACTATCCAGCTAGCTAAATACGTATACAATTCACCAGGGTGATGCTAACGCTACATCCTAAGGTTATTAACCCTGTTTGAACTCTTACTAACAGACAGGAGCTGCTCCCGCAGTCTGTTTAATACTTTTGGATTAGAGTATTAAATCTCAGACGTATGAGAGAGCCAAGACAAAAAGGAGCACTGAGAAATCTAACACCATCTTCATTACCTCACTACTCTAGAGTCACAACACTGGCTGCATTTAACATCCAAATTCAAGTTGCGTTCTCTAAAACATTCAACAGAAAACGTCAGAAAAAGAATCAAGAAATAATAGCTCAGTGAAGGCGCTGAGGAAGAAACATGAACCAGCATGTTTCCGTAGGGATTTTAGAAACAGGATTTTATTAATGCATAAGAGACACTTTATTTTACTACACTGAAGGCAACACACTACAGAACAATGGAGCATAACTTTAAGTTTCCAGTTGCCCTTCATTTGTTAACCAATTTATGGAAACTCAAGGCAGAGCAGTGAACTCTTCCTCACATCCGCCACTGGCTGGTTAGCCCATCAAATATTGTTCAGCTGTCTGGCTCTCGCTCTCCTCCAAGACATATTCACACAGAAGAAGAGAGACATTACTGTCCATAACCTCAGGCTGTCTGAACGTACACGAGCGCTGAGCTCTTTATACTCTAATGGAGCTGTGCAACTAGGAAAGAGTGGGAGTAGAAACCAAAACATGCGCACACAACT